TCAGATTATGTGAGTTCTGTCCTCATCCTTCCAGTCACTGGTCCTCCGACAGTCGTGGTGTCCAAACCTCCACCCTGGGTAATACTGGAGATGGAAGCTTGAAGATGAACACAGTATATATATTTATATATTTATATATTTGTTATTTGATGAAAAATGTGTTTGAGTGAATGTGTTGACGGCACCTTCACACCGCAGCTCCCCCCCGATCTCTAACACTTTAATAAGTCTCAGTGATGAACCTCCAGCTCCAACCAAACCAGGAACCTGCGACACAAAAACTACACAAACAACAACCACACAACACACACAAGCCTGCAAACATCAACACACAAACAACACAACACAATGCAGTGTTGGGATCCCAGATATTTTGTTGGGAGGATGCATCCACCATCTGTATTTAGTTTCTGTGGTTTAAACTTGCAAAGATTCAAAAAAACAGAAGCTCAATAAAGCTTTTCATCTGTGTGTGTGTGTGTGTGTGTGTGTGTGTGTGTGTGTGTGTGTGTGTGTGTGTGTGTGTTCCCAGAGGGTCTCCTGAGTTCAGGTACAGCCACATCGTGAGCGAGCCTCTGGGTCGCAGCACGTACAAGGAGAGATATCTCTTCCTCTACAGGTACAAAGTAAAAACAGTCAAACTTTATTCTGTGTCACGAGCCCACAACAAGCAGCAGTAACACACGACACGACCAGTACACAACGTTTATCCAAAAGATGAATAATACCATCAATGTGTAGTATAATGTAGTATAAAGGCCCCTGTCAGAGTAATACCATATATTGTCTCTTCCACGTTTTCTTTTAAATGAATTAACAAACCAGTCCACCTCAGAAACACAGACGTGATTGAGTCGTGTGTATTCTTCCAGAGAGGAAACTGTGTCCGTGGTTAAAAACTACACCTACGATGACGGCTGTGAGTCCAGCGGGACGGACGTGTTCAACAGAGAACCTTCCGTCGTCATGTTCTCCTCCGCTCACACCGGTAACCTGCGGAGGAGCCGGCCGTCCGCTTTGGTTCGCGCTGGTTTGAAGGCCTCCTCCTCCTCACTGAGCTCTGAGCGCAGTATTTCTCTGAGACATGCAGAGTACAAGTACAAGTACAAGTACAAGTTGATTAAAAACTGTCTCCGTTCACTTCCTGTCTCCTAGCCGTGAGGAGCTTTGTCCTGATCCCTCAGCACACCTCTCCAGACTTCGCAGTGAAGGAGGTGGACGCTCTCTATGACGTGGTGGCTGATGTCCGCTCTCGCTGGAATACCAACGTGAATACCCCCCCAACACACACACACACACACACACACAGAGTCAATGAGTTAGTGGACATGTGGGACACTACAAACCACAGGATGTCTCCCTGTCTCCCTGCAGGACATTGTTCTGCTGGGTGACTTCAACGCAGGCTGCAGTTACGTGTCAGGCTCTGACTGGCAGCAGATCCGTCTCTTCACCGATAAGAGTTTCCACTGGTTGATCACCAGCGAGGCGGACACCACAGTGTCTCACACCAGCTGCCCATACGACAGGTACACACGCACAATCACACACACAATCACACACACACTCTTGACTGGGCCTCACACGTGTGCACTTGCAGGATTGTGGTCACGGCCGACATGATGAGGGGAGTGGTGCACAGCAGTGCTGAGGTTTACGACTACATGAGGGACATGAGTCTCAGCCACTCTCTGGTAAAAACATTCTGTCTCTCATCGTCCTTCTCATCTGCTGGTTTTAAAATCCCCACGAGTAAAGCGTCTTTTTTTTTCCACTGTCTCACTCAGGCGTTGGCTGTCAGCGACCACTTCCCCGTGGAGGTGAAGCTGGTCGGTCCGGCTCGCGCTCGTTCTGCCTGAATCACGACTGCGACCGGGTCCACTGGTCTCCAGACAGAACCTGCAGTGAAAGACCAAAATAAACAAATCTGCTAAATGACGTCAGCGCACGACTGCTTCTTGGAACAGACACGAGAGTAAAAGAAAGATGCATGAAAATAATAAAAGGTGAAGTAATAAAAGAGACGTCAGAAACAAAGAAACTTCAAGGAAGGTCTCAGCACAGATCAGTGACAGCCCCTCGTCTCTGAACCCTCCTGAGGTCTCGTCCTCACAAGACGTGTCTCAAATATTAGATATTACAATATTATATTATAGAATTTTGACTCCTTGTTTTGGAAAGCACTTTGTGAAAAGTGTTATATAAATAAAACGTATTATTTTATTATTAAGAAGAAAGAAAGCTGCTGCTTTCAACTGAAGAATAAGAAGAAAATGTCCCTTCACTCAAAAAAGAGACTGAGTCTCTCTGAACCAAACTACAGACAATGAATCACACGTTCAGTCCATTGACCGGATTAATTTATTCACAAGAAGCAGGAAAACGGTATAAAGAGAAATCAGTTAAGAGATTTACTAGTTTTTAACTCAACTAGTTTATAACTCGACTACACATAATACTATTCCTCACTGAATCATTAGTGTCAATGGGCACGTGACACTGAAGGCACGACTTCACATTGTTCTCTCCTTTAGCCTTTCCTCTTCTTCAGCATCTCCAGATACATGTGCAGCGACTTCTGAATGGAGTCTTTGGTGATGAAGCTGACGAAGTTTTTAATGTCGGCCTCTCTGTTGGACGTCAGCTTGTCGATGGTCGGCTTCCTCATCATGGATTTGCTGATCTGTCTGGCGTGATCTGCACAAAGGAACAGACTCCCAGTTATCTGACCGACTCACAGAGCGGAGCGACGTCTCCACTGTCCCATGAACTGATTCTGGATGATTCTGACTCACTGCAATTACTGAGAACATGTTGTTGAGGGGAGCGATATCGAAACAGATCACAGCAGAGTTTCACTGACGGGAGGATTTAGGATGTTTCCTAACGTATCGTACCTGGAATAGCCAACCACTTGGTCATGGTCTGTGTGGCTGTGGTGAGGACCTGGTCCTCAGGTACCAGCTGGTCCACCAGTCCTATCTTGAGGGCCTCTGAAGGGCTGTAGAGCAAACCCAACTCCAGGGCCATCTCCGTGGTTCGGTGTCCCACTGTGTTTACCATAGTGTCCTTAAACCTGCACACAGCAGCAGTGACTGTTACGTGACACAGAGGTGAGAGCTTGAGGAAAAACGTCTGACGTACTGTACGTGCTAAAGTCATCATCGTGACTCGAATACAAACCACCACAGTCAACATTGTGTAAGTTCTTTACCAAAACGGTGCTACGATGCCGAGCTGGGTCTCGTTAAGGCCGATGCTGTAACGAGGGTTGTCCGCCATTATCCTGTAGTCACACGTCATGGACATCAGACAGCCACCTGCAGGACTGGAACCCTGCGGAGGGAGAGAAAAGGAGGCTCATCGCTCAACTGCACGACGCTTCTTATTACACTGCACCGCTCTTGTCCTCAGAAGCTTTCTTGAAATATTAGTCGCCGTCTTCTTCTTGTGTGGTACCTCTTCCTCACCCTGACATATTTGTATTTCTGTTTTTGCTCTTCAATTTTGCGTCCGTCGTGTGCTATAAACATCATCAACACGTCCACTCTCTCACAGTGAATCCTCCAGAGACGCTCACTGGGACATTATCCAGTTTTTACAACAGGAAGAACTCTGCTGAAAGTCTTCTGATGAAAACAGCCTCTCTGGATAATGTCAGGAGATTATCCTGAGTTGAGTTCAAACTGATTCTGTGTGATGCAAGAGCAGAATGGAGGTGGGGTGGGGGAGGGGGGGGGGGGGGGGGGTACTGTGTTTTATACGCACATTGATTGCAGCTATGGTGACCATGTTGGAGCTGTAGATTTTCAGCCACATCTCCTGAACTGCTTTCCAGAACTCTCCACAGCGTTCTGGACTCTTCCCGTACATCTCCATAATGTCCAGGCCGGCGGAGAAAACCTTGGGCTGACTCTGAAATGAAGCAAAACACACACACACACACACACACACACAGTCAGTTTGTGGCCTCATGGACAAAGTTCTGTCGCCACAGTCGACGAGGTCTCACTGTACCGAGGTGATGATGAGGCCTCGGCAGCTCTTATCCATCTCCAGCTTCTCCACGCTGATGCAGAGCTCTGTGAGGAAATCTAAGCTGAGGCTGTTGACAGGAGGACTCTGCATTTGCATAATGGCCACACCTACAAAGAGACACAGATGCTGATTAACACACATAGTCTCTAATGACTGATCCTAGAATGAAGAGAGAGGATTTCTGTGTTCTTGTCACATTGGATTCTCGTGACTTTCTATGGACTTTAGAACCAGTCAGGAAGGAGAAACTGCGGAGGCTCTCGCTCGGACAGATGATGGCAGACGACAGATCTTTACCTCTGCTCTGGTCAAACTCCACCTTGATCTTCGGTGAGGTGGAGTTGTTCCTCTGCTGCGTGACAAGGACGGCAGGTACACGACCTCTGACATGACTGCTGCAGGAGGACAGCTGGGAGAGGAGCCCTGCAACACACACACACACACACTTTTGTTGTTGTACAATGTTCGGAAGCTGCTGTCACACTTTGACCCAAGATACATGTCTGCATATAT